AGCTCTGTGCCTGGTGCGCCTGCTGGCTAAGTGGTAGTCCTCTCGCCTGCCAAGCGGGAGACCCGTGTTTGAACCCGCCCAGCACACCTTATGTGCGTATAGCCACCACCTGGCCCTCACTGGAGGCCTGTGTGCTGATCTGATGTTAAAATGAATCTTAGTGGAGCTTTCAGACCCAGAAGGACTAGGAAGAAGGGCCTGGTGATCTACACATCACAGGGAAAACCCTGCAGATCGTGGTGACCCTGTTCACAGCTGAGAGGGAACCAGATGGACGCAGAGAGTCCGTAGTTCTGTTGTGCGTGGGATCACAGGGAGGGCCTGATCACACAGCGGCCAGCACAAGGAAGCAACTCGGCTCCTGAACCGGCTTTCTGCTTTTGGCCCGTGTCCTTTCAACACCCAAGATGTTTGTGTGGATGGACACATGAGTGAGCTTGAGCATGGACTGTAAGGATGGCACTGGTCCGGGGAGGTTCCCATCTCTTGCTCATGGAGTCACTAGGAGTTCGAGTCAACACAGCCGTTGCACACAACCGCAGCATGCAGACAGTATTCCCCACTAGACGACTGCTTCCACTTGGCATGTCCTGTCGGTAGCATGGCCCCACCTTGGACGTGATCTTACGGGCTCACATCTACTCCCACCAGCCCAGAAGCAGCCTGCTGTGCAGGACCGGAGGATTTTTCTTGTTGTTCGTAGACTCACTGTGACTTGGCGCTAACTCGATGGCATCCAACAGCATCCTTGTACAGGAAAACCAAGGCCCTGGAGATGCTTCCGTGTCCAGTGTGGGGTGTGGGCAGCCATGCTCTCAGCGGACTGCACTGCCTCCCAAGTCGATTCTAGTCACTACAGCCCTCAGTGACAGAACAGAACTGTCCTCTAGGTAGGGTTTCCTGGGCCGCAGGCTTTACTCACCGCTGTGCCCTGGCCAGTCCTGGGGTTAGGTCCTCAGCTGCTGACGACGGGGCTGTAGTTGGAACCCTTCATCCATTCCGTGGGAGGAAGATGAGGCAGTCTGCTCTGTAACAATTCGTAGCCTTGGAGACCCGACGGGGCAGATGAACTGTGCCCTGTATGATAACCTGGCAGTGGTCTGGCTTGGGTTTAATATTTACAAGGACAGACCCTCAGTTCTTGCTCCCCAGGGCAATGATGAGTCCAGACTGCCACACATCCAGGTAGCCACTGGGTTAGGACACACCTACATCAGTGAAGAATGTTCAATACTGTGCTCAGCAGTGAGGACTTCCTTTTTTATTAAAAATATACTTTGTTTTACTGTGATTTTTTTTAATTTTATGTATATATATTGTTGTCCTGATTTTACTGTGATTTTAACAGTAAAAAGATTACAGATAAAAGTAAACTTTCATTTATTGTTGCACATTTTCCTTCCTCCCCTTTCCTTTTACATCCCTGAGTCCACTTTTTGTGAAAAAATTTAAGTTCTCAATTAATTAATGTCTCATCTCTGTATAGCAGGCAAAAAATGCACATACATATATACATACATATTTATACACACACGTACATATTAGTAGACATGTGAAGCTGGATAGTTTTCTCCTTTTTTAATTTTATTTTATTTTAATGAAAGTTTACAGAGATTTTTTTTATTTCCATTCGTTCATTGTTACATTTTTTTCTCCCTGCCCACCTCTTCCCCCCAGGTGGCTCTTCTCTTTGAAAAGTAAAAGAAAAATTCCTTCATTGGTATATAATTCCCTCCCCCCCCCAACCGAGTACACTCCACTATTCAGCCTTCATTCTGGACTCTTGTCATAACCATAATACCCAATCATATACTGTTTTTAAACTGTTCTCTCCTGCATCTGTTTCAATGCAGTATACATAATTTATCCAATTTTTCTCAGTCTCACCCCAACCCTAATGTCAGTTATGTTCTACAACAGTGACCCTATGCAGTATTTGTCCTTTTGTGACTGAGATATTTCATTCAGCATAATGTCCTCCAGGGTCACCCATTTTTAATAATATTTCATGAGTTCCTTGTTTTTCAATGCAGGTTAGTATTCCATTGTGCGAATATACCACAGCTTCTCTATCCATTCGTTTGTTGATGGGCACTTGGGTTGTTTCCAACTCCTTGCTATTGTGAACAAAGCCTCAGTAAACATGGGTGTGCATATATCTGCTTGGTGGGCAGTTATGGTCTCTTTGGGGTATATTCCCAGTAGTGGAATTGCTGGGTCAAATGGTATTTCTATTTGCAACTTTTTGAGAAAGCCTCACACTGCCTTCCATAGTGGTTGCACCATTGTACACTCCCACCAGCGGTGAATAAGGGTTCCAATTTCTCCACAACCTCGCCAGCATTTTTTGTTTGCTGCTCTGTTGAACTTTGCTATAGTTACTGGGGTGAGATGATATCTCACAGTTGTTTTGATTTGCATCTATCTTAGAGCTAGGGATTTTGAACATTTCTTCATGTATTTGTTGGCCATCTGAATGTCGTCTTTGGTGAAGTGTCTTTTCATATCCTGTGCCCATTTTTCAATTGGGTTCTTTATCTTGTTGTGGTGCTCGTGTATTCTATAAATTCTAGATATAAGTCCCTTATCTGACATGTCATTACCAAATATTTTTTTTCCCTATCTGTGGCTTTCCTTTTTACTTTGTTGGAGAAGTTTTTGTATGTGTATAGGGATTTGATTCTTAGAAGGTCCCATTCATCTATTTTACCTTCTCCTGGTTGTAGATTTTTCCAGATACTTGGAAGACTGTTTATGTTATGGATTAGGACTTCTAGCGTTCTTCCAAGCTTTTCTTTAATGAAATGTATAGTCCTTGGTTTTAGTCCTAGGTCCATGATCCATTTTGAGTTGGTTTTTATGTATGGAGTGAGGTGTGGATCTTGCTTTAGTTTTCTAGAGGTAGTTTTCCAATTCTGCCAGCACCATTTGTTAAAAAGGCTGTCATTTCCCCGCTTAACTGACTTCATCTCTTTGTCAAAAATCAATTGACTATAGGTAGATGGGTTCTCAGTCCTATTCCACTGATCTGTGTGTCAGTCATTATACCAGTACCATGCTGTCTTGACCACCACAGCAGTGTAGTAGGATTTGAAATCAGGGAGTGAGATGCCTCCTACCTTATTTCTCTTTGTAAGGAGTGCTTTGCTTTCTCGGGGCCTCTTTCCATTCCAAATGAAATTGAAGATTGTCTTTTCCATCTCGTTGAAGAATGGAATTGGTATTTGTATTGGGATTGCATTAAATGTGTAAATTGCCTTTGGTAGTACTGTCATTTTCACAATATTGAGTCTTCCTTCTTACACTTCTCCACATCTCTTTTTGTTTCTTTTTTTCCCCTTCTTTTTGTTTCTTGTAGTAATATTTTGTAGTTTTATTTTTTTTTTTTTGTAATAGATCCTTTGTGCTTCTAGTTAGATTTACTCCCAGGTATTTAATCTTGTGATTAGCAATTGTGAAGGGCATTGTTTTTTATGCTCCAGTTCTGTTTTTTCTTTGTCACTGTAGAGAAATCCAATTGATTTCATATGTTGATCTTGTATCATGCCACTTTGCTGAATTGGTCAACTATGTCCAATAGTTTTCTTGCTGAGTCCTTAGGGTTTTCTAAGTATACTGTCTTATCATCTGCGTACAGAGATAATTTTATCTCCTCTTTGCCAATTTGGATACCTCTTATTTCCTTGTCTTGTCTTATTGCTATTACTAAGACTTCTAATACAATATTAAATAGGAGAGGTGATAGTGGGCATCCTTGCCTCATTCCTCCTCTCAAAGGGAATGCCTTTAATCTCTCTCCATCAGGCTGAGGGCTTTTGTGTGTCTTTCTGGGGTGCAGTCCAGTCCATAACACCCCCATAAGGCCTCGTGTCTGCGCTCCTCTCCCCTGGGCTGAAGCCTGGGCCTTTGGGTCTTTGTTTAGCATGAGAGTGGACATCATGGCTGTGGCCTGTGGTCCAGTCCTTCGCCTCCTGGAGTGTACTGTCCTGCATATAAAAACTCCCCACCCTGCTCTCCAGGAGCCTCAGTCATCTTGGAATCCCTCAGTGGGTTTCACGACGAACATGGCTTGACTTCCAGTATCCCACAGGCTTTCCTTGCACATTGCTATTTCAGGACCTGCTTCTAGAATCTTCTTAGTGGCCTTTCTGCCCTTGGTTGCTTGGTGGTCACAGGCTAACAGCTCATATTCCCAGCCTGCCACAGGCCATGGGAAGCGGCTTTCGAAGGTCTATAGTGTGTCTTGTAGAATTCCACAAGTTTGTCCTCATTGTGTCTAAAATCCATGCGTCAGCTGGGTTTCACTTCCTCTAAGGAAGGAGTCCCTTCTCCCATTTCCTGTGTGGTCACCACAAAATGTTACTTACCCAAGGTCCTGTGGGCTATATCCCTTCCTCACATGCAAGGTCAATTTGAAAAACCAGTCACAGCCCCTGACCCACAGTGACCCCACGTGTGTCCGTGGAGAATATTGTTCCTTAGGACTTCTGGTGGCCGAGTTATCAGCAGTTGGTTGCCAGGCCTTTCCTCCAGGGTGCCCTGTGGGCAGCCTGAGAGCTCCAGCTTTTCATTGTTTAGCCAACCGACCATGTGAGCCACCCATGCCTGGACACTGAGAGCATCCTGTCTAAATGGAAGGGCTCACTGCAGTGTCGTTTCTTTCCCCCTGGAATTTGGGCTGAAGTGCACCGTCTGCTCCAGCTCGAGTCCATCTGATAAGCAGGGGGTAGCACAGCTGTGATCTGGGGTGCACTCTTCTGCCCTTGCCCAGGTGGCCTCTAACCCTGTGAGAGAACGCATCATGTGTTACCATGCATTCTGGTGGTACATGGAGGCCCCGCTGTGTCATAGACATGGTGAGGACACTGATGGGGTCAGTCTCTGTGCCTGCCCCGCTGGGAGGGTTCCTGGGAGCGCACCTGCCTCGTGGGTTAGAACCTCTGTTCCAGACGGTGCCCAGTATCTCCTAACCTCTGGCGGGTGTGTGACTTCCTGTGCAGGATTACATGCAGAATGTGCACGGCAAAGAAATTGATCTCCTGAGGACCACCGTCAAAGTGCCCGGCAAGAGGCCCCCCCGCGCCACGTCGGCCTGCGCACCCATCTCCAGCCCCAAGACCAACGGCCTGGCCACCGACATGAGCAGCTTGCACATCTCGCCTAACTCCGGTAAGTGGACGGCGGCAGCTGGGGGGGCTCGGGCGCGGCCGCGGGCATGGAGCTGGCTAGTGGGTGGCTGAGGACCGGCCTCCTCCTTCTGTGACTCACTTTCTCTGCGTGGTGAGAGGTGACCGTGGGTTACGTGATGGCCAGCAACCCACTGGTGCCGCCTGAGCTGCAGCTGCGAGCAGTGAGGTGTTCCCAGGTCGGATAGTGGAAAGTCAGGTTTCACTCGTGAATCAGCCGCACTGAGTACCTGGTGCACCAGTGTGGGTAAATTGTTGAATTGTGCAGGACTTGGGGTAACTAATTCCTGGTCCCTGTGGAAGGCCCCTTTCACATACTCATTGGGCCTCATAACTCACAGACATATGAGTCAGAACCTACGCAGTGTGTCATGGAATAAAGTCCTGGCAACCAGCTTCCGTGACAGTTACAGCTTGGCAACCCCGTGGCGCAGTTCTCCTCTGCACCACTTGGGGTCACCACGAGTCAAAATCCATTTACCAGCAGCTTGTTTGGGTCAACTGCATCTGTGAATGTGGAAATCCATTTGGAGCCAGATTTACAAAAAACCTCTATAAAATGTTACATTTACTTATCTTTCTGCCCCCAAAATTATCTGGCGTGCCTTGGTGCAGTGTTAGTCTTCTTTGTTTTCTTTCATAGAAGATTTCTTTTCCCTTTGTTCTTAAATTCAGAATTAGAGAAAGTATTGTCTAGAGGAGAAAGGTGTCCTTAAGTCATTTTTCCCTGGGCCCCCAAGCCAGCCAATGTTCTCGTTGATCTTCCTTTGAGGGTCTTTGCCATGGTTCCACCCTGTCCTCTTGGGGTTGCTCCTTGGGGCGGCAGGGGGACAGTGTGAAGAGCCCAAGTCCTCCCCCCAGCACACAGAGCTCCTTCCACATCCAGAGTGCCTGCTCCAACTTCACTTCTTTCTCCAGCAAAAAGTCCCTTCCTTCTCTCCGACCTCCATCCAGTCTTGTCCGACTTGTCTCTACTTCTTCGTGGGGCTGTGTGTTCCCTTCTGAAACGCAAAGGCCTTAGGGCGGTGCTGGTGCCTGAGGCCAGAAGACCTTGGTGTGACAGCAGGATATTGACAAGTACCTGGTGTCTGGGGATTGACATTCCACATGGGCCTCTTGGTCACAGCCTCAGGCCGATGCTCCCTGGCCTGCCACTTCACAGAAGTCTGGTGCCAGGTGAGGTGACATGTGATGAAGCTGGAGACCTGGCGAAGAACACATGTAATTAAATGCTGTTGATGGTAATGTAATTGGACTTTGTACTAATGGAGATATCATTGCATTCCAGAAAGGCCAGGGAGTAATTCATGTGGTCTCTTATGACCTCAGAGGCCCAGTGGTGTAGTAGTTAAATGCTTGTCTGTTAACCAGAAGATCAGAAGTTTGAGTCTACAAGCCACTCCACCAAAGAAAGACGTGACAATCGACGACCATAAACGTTAGGATCCTGGAAGGCTGTGGGTCAGCTCTGCTCCTTCTGGAGTTGTTGAGATTTGACGCAGTAACAGTGAGTTTAGGACTTTTGGTTTCTGATGGCCTAAGGACCCTGTTGGCACGGTGGTTAAAGACTTGACTGCTAACTGAAGGACTAACAGTTATGAGGCAGTCTGCTTCCATACAGACTAAAAGCCTTCAGACCCTGTGGAACAGTCCAAGTCTCTACTCCAGAATTGCTGTTGGTCAAGATCATGTGAGCAGTGTGGTTTTGGCTTAGGGTTTACTGACCTTCCTTCTTCTGCTAAGACTTCTGTAGATTCCCATCACCAGGGTGATGTGCCAACATCACCAATAATTATTAACAGCTCTGAGGAAAATAAAAAGGGTGAAAAATGCCCAAGAAAGGAAAAAGGAAAACTCACAAATAAAAAGGTGCTACCTCCGTTACTCACATACTGGGCATGTTGCCAGGAGGGGCTCTTTTTCAGAGAAGGACATGATGCTGGGAAGGGTGGAGGGTTGGCGAAGGAGAGGAGGACCCTCAACCAGGTGGATTGACACAGTGACAGCTTCCATGGGCTCTTTTGTGTCCAGAAGTGTGAGGACGGCGCAGGATAGAACAGGGTTCAGAGCTGTTTTTCCTAGGGTTGCTCTGAGTCATACTCGACTCGATGGCACCTAACAACAACAACAACCTCTGTTACCATGTGTTTGGTCATTTATTGAATAGCTCCTTGTACCAGGAATTGATGTGCTGTGGACACAGGGTCCCTGACCTCCAGAGCTCTCTCCTCACCGCCCTCTGACCAGTCAGGTCAAGTCTACCCATTTACTTATTCAAGGTCAGTGAATGTTTATTGACATGTTACAGTGGGCCAGATCCTGTCATGGCCCTGGGGACATACCCTCAAAGTCTGTCTCTCCCTGCTCCACACCACCACCACCGTGGGCAGGGGACCAGGCCGACCATCAGATGTAACAAGCCGTAGTTGTGGGTAGTGACCAATCAAGTCAGGTCCAATTTGCGGTGACCCCGTGTGTAAGAGAAGAAAGCACTGCCCGGCCCTGGCCATCTTCACCGTCATTTAGGGATTTGAGTTCATCCTTGCAGCTGTCTGCCTTCTATCACGTGGTTGGTATTAACCATCGGCCTAGAACCTACCTGCAGCTGACCCTCCAGCAGGTTTTCAGAAGAATTAAATTGCACAGGAGAATGTCCATTGTTCAGCCATGAATCAGCTCATGGGTTCAGTCTCATTGACTGTGTAATTTCTTTTTACTTAGCCACCCGAGCTCTAGGCCATGGTAGTGGGACAGAAGAGTGGGCCAGCAATGGCATGGTCACTTCTGCCCCAGGACATGAGTGGGACTTTGGGCACAGTAGACTCCTGTGTTGGGTTTGAAGAGTGGATAGGAATCTGCCCAGCTCACGGACTGAGGGAATCACACCAGTACTTTGAGGGAATGTTGCTTCTGGAAGATTTGGGATCCCTAGTGGAGTGGTGATTAACCACTTGGCTGCTAAGAGAGAAGTGCTTGATTCTCATTCACTAGCAGCTCCTCTGGGGAAAGAGGAAGCGATCTGCTTCTAGAAAGATCGCAGCCTTGGAGGCCCTGGGAGTTGGGGGCAATTCTGTTCTGTCTTACCACTTGGAATCAACAAATAGCATCTAACAAAAAGACAATCCTGTGATCTGCTGTCAGGGGACTTTGCAGAGTGCTGAGAAGCAACAGTGTCATTCTAGAGACTAAGGTGCACCTGACCCGGGCCATAGAGAGCTGAACAATGACTAAGGAGGACAGACGAAGAACCGGTGCCTTTGAGTTTTGGTGCTGCCGAAGAGTACTGAACATACCAAGGACTGCCAAGAGAGCTAACTGTTCCATCCTGGAGAGGGTGAAGCCAAGCTGTTGTTCCTTAGAGGCCAGGATTCTGAGGCTTCAGCTCACATATTTTGAGCATGTGCCAGGAAGTTCCAGTCCTTGGAGAAGGACATCATTCTTGAAAAGGTGGAAGTGACAGCAAAGTATCGGAAGACCCTGGATGAGATGGATTGATAGTAACTGGAGTAATGACGGTAGATGTATCAGAGACAGTGTGATTGGCCCAGGATAGAGCAGGCTTCAGAGCTATTGTGTTTGGGGTCGTTATGAGTTATGATCAACTTGATGGCATGTAACAACATCAACAACTGGGCATTAATGAGCTGAAATGGACTGCTAGTGGTTATTTTCAGTCAGACAGGTATATAGTCTACTTTGTGAGACTGGACAAATTCAAGAGAAATGACATCAATTAATCATTAAAAGCATCATTTCTAGTATAACACTGTCAGCGATGGGATAATATCCATATGTCTTCAGGGAAGGCCAGTTACTCAACTCTGGATCAAATTTACATATGCTAAAGATGTTGGAGTGAGGAAGACTTGAAACAGTTGTTGCAGAAAATCAAAGACTATAGCCTGCACTATAGAATACATCTCTTCAACATCAGGAAAGCACAGATCCTTAACACTGGGCCTGTAGGCAACATCATGATGGGTGGAGAAAAGATTCAAGTTGTCAGTGATTTTATCATGCTTGAATCCACTATCAACACCATTTGTACTAGCAGTCAAGAAACCAAAAGATGGGGAGCTCTGGTGGCCTAGTGGCAAGAAGCTGCACTGCAATCCCAGAAGTGCATGGTTCGAATCCACCAGATGCTCTGCCGGGAAAGGAGGGACAATCTCAATCTCCTCCTGTACCAGTCAGATCTGATTTAACGGTGCACACACACACACACACACACACACACACACACAAAATAATAATAATAATTTTTTTTAAAAAAATTAAAAAAAAAAGAAACCAAAAGACATTGTACTGGGTAAGTCTGCTGTCAGGGACCTCTCCAACATACTGAAGAGTAATGATGTTAGCCTAGAGACTAAGGTGCACCTAATTCAAGCCATGGTCTTTTCAGTAACCTCCTATGCATCTGAGAATGGTCAATGGATAAAAGTGATAGAAAAACAATTGATGCATTTGAGTTGTATTGGAGAAGAGTGCTGTGGGACCTGTGGACGGCCAAAAGGACAGAGAAAGTGCAACCAGATTTCTCCTTGTGAAGAGCTTTGCCTCACTCACTTTGGATATGTTGTTATGAGGGCCTATCCCATACAAACGGACATCGTGCTTGGGAAGGTGAATAGTCAGTGAAAGAGAAGAAGCCCCTCACCAAGATGAATTAACGACAGTGGTGGTTGCAACAATGACATGAACTATCCACGATGTGACTGGTACAGGATGAGACAGGGTTTTCACATCTGCTGGTCGCTGTGTCACTAAGAGTCGTACTCAATTCCACAGCCCTTAACAAAAACAACAAAGATGTTAAAAGAGAAACTGAAGATTTTTTTTGTACCAACTTCTCCAATCTGAAATGGATCAAATAAGCCATCGGAATGCATAATTACTGGTGACTGGAAAGTGTAAGGTGCAAACATAGAAGAGGATCAATTGCTAAACTCTGTGCCCTTAATGATGCAAACGCTGCCAAAT